GCTGCGTCGCTGCCCACATCGAGACACTGAAAGTGACAGAACAAATGAGTTAACGCATGTTTGTGCGCTTAATCAACAGAGATAAATTTTGGACTATTGATTGTGAAGCGAATACAACTCATCTTCAGCCTGGACACAGCGTTGCAAACAAAAATGGAGTGTAAAAGTGGTGAGATCTAAGATTGCCAAACTATTTCGTTTCTATTGACGAAAATCAAGCCTTCAGCGATGAATCACTGTTGTGACGAGTTTCGTGTAGCGTACGTTCTAACCGCTTTAAAGGAAACCGCACATGTAATTAAGAGGCAAATATAAAGCAAAAGGCCATGTGCAGTGTGAATGAACGGTGTCTAATTGGGGGGGGGGGACGTTATTCCCTTTGGTCACGATTGTGATCAGACAAACGAAGTTGCTGTACCTAGCGTGCATGAGCCCCAGATTCTGACGTTTGAACGACGCGATCACTATCACATATCGGGTACAGCTTAGCTCGAGTTCAATTCAATACCAGCTCCATCCCGCAAATGCCCTGTGGTTGGCCAATAGAANATAAACGCCTTGTCGTATAGGCAAGTATGTCTAGTTTAGATAAGTTTACCAGTGAATAATCAGGATGACTTCTATCTGCTGGAAGAGAAAATGAAGAAAACTAATACAAATCGCGACTTTGTAAGTGTCTTGATTATATATTAAATGCACTACTTTTAAACATTTACCTTATAAGATGATTCTATAACTTTTTGATGTGTTTGAAGTGCCGTAACTAAATTTAGATGTTTTATTTTCGCATAGGTCACATAAATGTCAGCCAGCGGTGGTGAAAACGTCGGCGAGTGAGCAATGATCAGAAGAATTTTCACTCCAGGATGTGTCGACATCTTAACTCGAACGGAATACATGGCCGAGCGCAACAGTCCACTTATCCAATAACGTACGCTATACTTGGTAAGTTGTTCTTTGGAATATTGAGGTTAACTTTATAAATACACACAACCGATGAAATAATGAATATGTTTTCCATTTCAGATGCCTTGTTTAAAAAACTCTATGAAGGGTACAGTCAGGAGGAAGCTGTCAAGATTTACAAGAGATTCATCCTCAAACATCGACAAACATCTGTTATTTTCTATTTTTTCTATTTTTATTTTTATTAAATGGTAAATATACATAAACTGATTTCTGTTTTCCCGGTAACAGAATGTTACTGAGTCTCTGTGACAATGGGTTAAACTTTGAGACGATTGGATGATATAAAAACGGTGAGGGTGGAAATTGTTAGTCTGAAATAACCCAGGTCTCAAGTGAACTGTTCTGCTAAACACGTAGGAGTCTGGGGCTTTTTCTTGCGTTTCTCGTGTTTTTGTGCAATCTGGAAGAAAAGACCCGGAATTTTGCAAAGTTAAGGCTGTCTGTCTACCGTTTTCGACCCAAATCAGTCTGGATTTTCGTGCTTTCTACGTGGGACTTTTGAGTCTTTTTTCTAGTAGGGATTGGGCCTAGCCTCGAACCAGTGAAATACTTCAGGACTCAAACCCAATCAGTTATTCATATCTTTGAACAAAAACCAAGAAAACGATCACAGGTATCGCGGTCGTGTTCAGCCAGAGCGCAACAGTATGGCATTATGTTGCTCCGGTGAATATAATCAAGAGATGTGTGTCACAGGTGTAGCCCGCGACATTCCTCTCCATGTCACAAAATCTGACAAAGGACCTGGTGGCATAAATATAGATGAGCAAGTGCAAATGCGTAACGCAGTAAGTCTCACGCGATTGGATATTGAGAAGGTACCACAAATCTCCTCTCCCAAAAAGGACAAGAATCTATGCTTCGCCCAACTAGTCGCCAGCACTCCCGACGCAAGTTTCGCGGACATAACCACGGATGAACCAACCATAGTCGTGATCCTCAACCGCAATTTATTATCACCTATGAAACCATCTCACGCTCCAGCAAAAGAGATCAAAGGCCCAACCAAGGTGCCAGCCATTCGACCAATAGCTGGGATAAAGTGATACTTGGTAATCTACCATCTACGGCAATTTTTCCAGCTCATACCCCGGCGCAACCTAAATCTTATTTCTAAAAGACTAAAAACCTAAGAAACAATCTCCCTACGCCAAAAATCGAAATGTTGGCAAGCGTCGCCAGGTTTCTCCCAGACCGAACTCCAAGACAGAACTGTAAGAAAATTAAGACGCGCCAACCCCCTTTTCTGTCCCCAATAGACCGCTCTCGCTCACCAGACAGAGTGAAACCCCAGAAAACTGGCAAGTTAATCCCGCCAGTACGCAACATGGATACCAAAGACATGGCACCACCCTCCAAGAAGCTCTCACGGGTACCCCGACCGCCCTAAGAGCAAAACGGTCGAAACGCCTCTACCCCGAAACTCTCCCACATCCCCTGCCATTCTACTAGACCTGCTGAACTACATAGTGAGCATGTGCTGAAGTGCGTATCAACCAATTGTTTCAGTATAACTAATAAAATCCTTGAACTGCGATAATTGGCGCATAATAAGAAGCCGCACGTAATAGCCCTAACTGAGATGTGGCTAATTCCAGAGATACTAGATGGTAAAATAATGATAGATCGTTTCACCTTGTTCAGACAGGATTTAAACCGTGGCCATGCAGGTGGAGTGGCTCTGTTCCTTAATAATTCCCTCCCACTTGGTTGACGTGTTTCCCTTCCTACTATTCAATCGATCGAGACTTCATGGGTCAACATCGTCTTCCCGAACAGGAATTCACTCCTCCTGGGGGTTGTTTATCAATCCCCATCAAGCACACAGGAGGAATGTTAATCACTTCTAACTCAGCTTCGCGAGTTCCGTTCTATCTGCACTTTCTCACACCTTCTTATCTTGGGTGACTTCTGCACCCCGAATATCGACTGGCCCAGATGCCACTCCAGAGATAGAATGTTTGGTGCACCCCTTATAAACCTCTTCAACGAAAAATCGTGGTATCAACACGTAAATTCCCCCACGAGATACCGTGTCGGCCAACGTCTATCTTTGCTTGATCTTGTGATTACCAACGAACGCCGCCAGATCCACATGATCGCGTATCTAAGTCTTATCGGTAAAAGTGATCACTTTCTGCTTTCCTTTGACTATATAATTCGCTGGCCAACTTGCAGGTCCTTTCCAGAATGCTACGTTTCTTTCAAAAGGACCGATTTCGTTAACTTACGAGAATTCCTGGCCAACAACCTGGGCTCCTGCAATATTGATACTGACCCGAACAACCTAAATGAGTTGCTCGAGAGTCTATTTCACGAAGCGGACCACTTGTTTATTCCTAGAGTTCAATCTGTATCTGACCATAGCCCCCACCACGCTCCATTCGGCACCTAATGAACGAGCGGGCGCGGTCATTCACTAGAATAAAACGTACTGGACTCGACGCTGATGCTCTCGAGTTCAAGCAAATCCGCAACTTGGGTAAGCAGAGAGTTAGGGAATTCCACAATAGACAACAGAAAGCAATTCTTCTTCGTGCCAGAAGTAACCCTAATTCCTTATTTAGTTCACTCCGTCATAATAAGCAATGAAACCCTTCGGCACTAGCGCTCAAGCTACCTGATGGCTCTCCTGTAACCTCATCTGCTCAAGTAGATGACGTTTTTTGTTCTCATTATGAATCCGCCATTAATTTTCCTTCTGTCTTTTCCCACCCCAATCTTACCTCTCTTAATGCACCACCTCCATTAAAACATTTCATGATTCTTCCAGGGGAGACCGAAACACCCCTCAAATCCCTGAATCCCTTTAGTTCGATGGGACCAGACGTTTTACACCCTCCTATGTTAGAAGAATCCATCTCGATTCTTTTCCCGTACTATTCCACCCTAGATGCTGGAATATTTCCTTCATCTTTGAAGAGAGGCATCATAATCCCCCAATTTAAGAAAGGGGATCGACACACTCCAAGTAGTTATAGACCTATCAGCCTGACTAGCGTGCCCAGCAAGGTCCTTGAACGGGTCTTAAAAAGGGAATTCTAAAACACTTAACATACAATCGGCTTCTTTCTCAAACCCAACACGGCTTCCTCCCTGGCAGATCCTGCATCTCCAATATGCTATCTGTCATGGACAGTCTAACACAAGCCCATGATGACAGCTTGATTCCTCAGGCAATTTTCATTGATTTTGCAAAAGCTTTTGATCGCGTCCCCCATGCTCCCTTACTCTATAAGCTCGAGTCAAATGGCCTCATTGGCAGACTCCTCGCTCTTCTTCGCGATTTTCTCACGAACCGCACCTTCTCGGTCCGCGTAATTTCATTGCTCTCATCTGACTCTTCCATTTCTACCGGAGTCCCTCAAGGTTCCGTCCTTAGCCCGCTCCTTTTCCTGATATATATTAATGACCTGCCACACAGGATCGGAGTCAAAGTAGCAATGTACGCTGATGATGTGACAATTTGAGGCACCAACCCGGTGGCTGTTCAATCAGCAACGGATGTAGTCAAAGACTGGTCTACGGCCTGGAACCTTCCAATAAACGAAGACAAATGCGTTAGTAAGTCGTTTAGGGGGTTCCCCGTACATAGCTTCAGGGCTAACGCTTCCACGGCTATGGAGAGTTTAGAACATCACAAGGTTCTTGGTTTCTGACTGACCAGGTCACTTTCGTTCTCTTGTCACAAACGAAAAGCCAGTAGATCCGCCTTTCTTGTTCATAACTTCCTAAGACGTTCATTTCCCAGAATAGAAAGAGATGACTTCCAGATTCTATATGGCACGTACGTCCGACCCTTACTGGAAGACGGTAGTCAAATTGCTCACTCCCACCTGGTGTGCGATTGTACGGCCCTGGAGTGTGTACAACGGAGGGCCACAAAACTTGTGCATGGCTTGTCCTCCATCCCGTGCCCTACACGTCTTTCCATTTTCAATCTGTACCCCCCTTGAAACCCGCCGGATAAGAGGTGACATCGTCCTAGTTTACAATCTCCTTAATTCCGTCAGGGTCGATGACATCTTTGTGCGCACTAGTACGGACAATCTTCGTGGGCATGGCATGCAACTCTTCAAACCGTGTGCCCATACACTAGTCCTTCAGTACTCTTTCGCCCACAGAGTCATTCCTTTTGGAATAACCTCCCCCAAGAAATTAGTTAATGACCACACAAGATCCGCTTTCAAAAGGAATCTAGACCGGTATCTTGGTCTAATCCCTGAACGGTGAACATCTCCCCGCCTCACAGTGTTATTCATAGCACGTTCAGTATTTTTTCCTGTACTTTCCGATTTCTCGCACTGCATGCGGATACTGCACCCCTCTCTCCTCCTCTTACCTCGTTTCAGGTGACCTTCTTGTACAAACAGGACGCGGACTCACTCTAATTACCCAACGTCCACCGCAATGGAGCCTTACCCGTACCCGGCTCATTGGGACACAGGACCAGAAGAAACCTTGGAAACTACTAAAATCCGGTACCAGTGGGTCTCGCCTCGCACCTGTGTAATACTTCAACACTTCAAGAACAGATAATGCGCCGTCTCCCTTTCCCTTCCAGCTTCTGGATATTACTCCTTCATGGGGCGTCGGAAGAAACTTTACACGCACAGGTGAGGCGGTCTGCGGACAGAACCCGTCATTATCAGGACACCCAACAGACAAAGGTCTCTCTACATCCTGCGATTTGAATTTAATTTAAATTTGAACCTGACCTGACCTGAGGACTTGGAACCGGCTTCCCAAGGAAATAGTCGATCTTCAAACAGTGCACGCATTTAGGACTGCACTCGATAAGACGTGGTTGTAACTATTCCCATTCTTGGCAGTGTAAACGAATGTAGGTTTGCCAAATGTTTAGGATGCCCTTTTTACTGGTACATTCAAAGCAAGGTGCTGGAAAGGATCATCAGGGCTCATATCTGTAAGCACTTAGTGAACCATTCTATACTGTGTCCTGCTCAGCATGGGTTTCTTGAAAAACAGGTCATGTCCCACCAATCTCTTGTGCTTCCTATATGAAGTAACTCCTAGGTAAGACGAAGGCAAAAGCGTAGAAGTATGCTACCTAGACTTGAGTAAAGCGTTTGATTCTGTGAATCACCGCCTACTGTAGATCTAGTTGAAAGCCATCAGCATAGAGGGGCAGATTTATGGCTGTATATCTGACCTCTTAAGTGGGCGATCCTTCTACGTAAGAGTGGGTAGTTCCAATTCCAACCTTAGGAACATCACCAGTGGAGTACCTCAGGAATCGGTACTGGGATCCATCTTATTCTTACTGTTTATAAATGACCTAGCCGCCTATTTAGAGCGGGTTCAACGGCTGGCAACGAGAATGGTTGAGGGCCAGCGTGGCAAAGAATACAAGAAAAGACTCCAGGACCTGGGACTATTCTCTTTAGAAAAGACAGGGCACAGGAGAGATATGATTAAAACGTTTAAAATAATGAAAGTTTTATCTGGTATGAGACCAGAAAGGCTGTTTCAGGAAGCACCAGATTCCCGTACAAGGGGGCGCGGAATGAAGCTGGCCAAGGCCCGGTCTTGACTGATTACCAGGTCACAATACTTTAGCAACAGGGTAGTCGATATTTGGAACAGACTACCTGTAGAGTTAGTAGAACTGCAGACCGTGCTAGCATTCAAGACGGCTCTGGACGATCGGTGGTCTGAACTTGTTCCTGAACTGGACGTCTGACCATCTATTAGGGGGCTTAAGAAAACTAGTATTAGGAGCGACACATTCAGGGTACATTTTCTTTATTTCGCCCAGCCATTTATTGGAATGTAGCCTGGGAGATGAACACTCACGAAGAAGAGTATCTCGCCTTGGAGGTGAGATGAGATATCTTTCCTTTCTTCTCTTTTTCAGCCCGGAAGCTATGGACTACTTTTCGCAGTGATGGGTGTATTTCATGTTGAATTTCTGAAAATCCTTCCAAACCCATGATGATTTATGGTGACATAATTCTATCTGTGTTGCTTCTCTATTGACATTTCTCGATCACGAACACCACACATCATTATTTATCTGTTAATC